GTCCCACACTGCTGTCCAAGCAAGGGGGGACACCAAGGTCAACACGTGGACTGAGTTTGAGAATGTGGATTCTACAATCAGGGGGTGATCCCTGGTTCTACCTCTTACTGACTGCATGACCCCCCCAGAGGCCGCTCACCCTTGGGCCTCAGTGTGGTCACCTGGGAAAGGGGACAGTAAACATACACACTTGCTTACCACCAGGACTGTGGTGGGATCAAATGAGAGTCAACGTCAACGGATCAGTAAAGGGGGCTCATCTTGGCCTCAAGTGCAACCCAGAAGAGGAACGCGGGGAGCCAGGCTTGAACCAACTTGTTCTTTCAGCCAAGTGAAAATGACCCGAGTGCCAACTCTGTGCCAGGCGTGGTGCTCTTCCCCAGGGATGTGACTGGGACTGAGACACGCATGTCCTCTGCCTTCAGCAGGCCTTGTCTGGTGAGCGCCTTCCAGGTGGTCAAGACTGTCAATGTTTTGTGTTTTTTTTTTTTTTTTTTTGATATTTTGTTCTAATTTGTTACCTGTGTCAGCAGAATGCATTACAATTCACATTACGCATGTAGAGCACAAGTGTTCATCTCGCTGCTTGTGTACAAAGTGTATCCACGCCATCCTGTCTTCTTCGTACATGTACTTAGGGTGGGGATGTCCATCTCATTCCTCCGTCTTTTTTACCCCTTGCCCCCTCCCTCCTGCTCCTTCCCCTTTGCCCTATCTACAGTTTGTCTAATCTTCCCATGCTTCCCCTCCCAACCCCACTGTGCGTCAGCCTCCTTGTAATGGAACAGACACTTCTCAGAAGGTGATATGCAATCAATCATCAAATATATGAAAAAATGCCTCATCATCTCTAGCAACTAGAGAAATGCAGATCAAAACCACTCTAAGATTCCATCAGAATGGCAGCTATTATGAAGACAAACACATTAAGTGTTGGTGAAGATGTGGGGGGAAAGGCACACTCATACACTGCTGGTGGGACTGCAAATTGGTGCAGCCAATATGGAAAGCAGTATGGAGATTCCTTGGAAAACTGGGAATGGAACCACCATTTGACTCAGCCATCTGATTCCTCTGTCTATACCCAAAGGACTTAAAAGCAGCATACTCCAGGGACACAGCCACATCAATGTGTATTGCAGCACAATACACAATAGCTAAACTATGGGACCAAACTAGATGCCCCTCAGTAGATGAATGGACAAAGAAAATGTGATATATATAGACAATAGAATATTACTCAGCAATGAAAGAGAATGAAATCACGGCATTTGCAGGCAAATGGATGAAGTTGGAGAATATAATGCTAAGTGAAGTTAGCCAATCCCCAAAAAACAAATGCCTAATGTTTTCTCTAAGATTGTCAGTGTTGAGAAAGAGGTCAAGCATGGTGGCACACTCCTGTAATCCCAGCAACTAGGGAGGCTGAGGCAGGAGGATTCCAATTCGAGGCCAGCCTTAGCAATTTGGCAAGACCCTCTGCAATGCAGAAACCCTGTCTGAACTGAATCCTACAGGAGAGTAGAGAAGGGAGGCGGGTGTTGGGGAAAAGGTCTATAGGAGAAGGAACTGCAGTGGGAAGCCCGAGCTGGGGAAGGGAGGAGCTGGAGAGATGGGGGTCCCTTCCTTCCCCCCTCTCCCAACACTCACCGAGTCCTCACCTCTTCCTCCTCTGCTCCAGCCCCATCTCCTTGTTTCCTCTCCCTGATTCCAAATCTCTTTTTTCACGTCAATTTCTGGTTCCCTAACAAACCCAAGGACAGACTTTGCCAACATCTGCTTTTCCCCCACAGGCATGGTACCCCTTTTGCTGGTAGCTGTTTACTTTTTTTTTTTGTACTGGGGATTAAATCCAGGGGTGCTTTACCACTGAGCTACATCTCCGGTCCTTTTTATTTTTGAGACAGGAATTCGCTAAATTGTTTAGGGCCCTCCTAAGTGCTCAGGCTAGCCCGGGTTGCTGGGATTACAGATGTGCACCACAGCGCCTGACCGGAGCTGTTTACTTCCATTATCTAGAGAGTGTAGGGCCACAGGTAGCCCATACAGTGCCTTTGCTCACATTATCAAAAGGTACCCTTTGTGGGAAGATATAGCCTCCCAGCAGGCGTGACACGGCTCCTATTTACACATTAGGACGCATACCTTTGTCTAGTGAACAACCTGCCCAACTGTCCCCTGAAGCCTTGAATGAATGAACAAAGGAATGTGAGTAAGATGAGTGAGAAGCCCTGAGGCAACAAAAAGATTTGGAGTAGGAATGAAAGCGAGGAGAAGCTGGATCCTGTGAGTTTTGGAGTGGCAGACACACAGGTGAGCCACAAACTCTGGCTGCTGATTCCAAAAGGCCCCAGTTCCTAATTCTCTGAAGGCAGGTTGTTTATGTATCTGAACTCCTGTGGTCCCTCCTTACTAAGGAACCTTGTGTGAGACTTTTTTGTTTCAGTCCCCAAGAGTGCGACAAATACCCTGAGCTTTAAGCACATCCAGTAGTGGTCATGTGTGCGCCCTGGAGGCTCAGCAGAGCCTAGAGGCTCAGTCCCTGCTGCTCTTCTAAGTCCTGAGAGGAGACAGGCCCTAGACAGCAACAGAGAGCATTTACCAAAGATGCCGAAGATTGCAAAATAAAACAGAGCCAGCCAAATCCCTCAGTGGGAAACACAGGATGCAGGATAAACAGGGGGATGAGGGATCCTCGGGTGGGGTCTCTGGAAGACTCTGGACAGCCCATATCTTCCTTCTCCCTGGGTCAGCCCAGCTCCTTCCAGGCCCTGGTCAGCTTTCCCATCTCTTCCCCACACTCTAGGAAGTAAGACTTTCAGCGCTGGGCTGGTCTTCACCAAACATCTACAAAGGGTTGCTTGTTCCCCCTTCCTCTTCGCTCATGAGCGAATCATGCAAGAAGCCAACTCTCTGGGACCTAAAGGGCCTGAGGTAGGGAACAGACACGGAGGCAGCTCATGAAATGGGATTTGTTACGGATGCTGACCCTTCCCACACAGGCAAAGCCCTGGAAAAATCCTGCCACTAGGTTGGCCACCTGCCAACGCTGAAGTCAGTGGAGTTTTGAAGCCTTCCTCATCCATCAGGGAGTTCCTGAGACGAACAAGGCTGTACTGCCCATCAGACCGGAGATCCCTGGGGTGGGGGCCACATCTCACCACCAGACTGGGGGCAGCACACTGGGTGCAGAGGCTGCTCCACTGCCACCAGCCTGGAGCTGCCGAGGGCAGCCTTGCCGGTCTCTCATCAGGTTGGGCAGACACCTAGAAATAATAAGTATGGATACTGCCTATTAGGTGCCTGAAACTTTTTTAAAATTAAAAATTAATTCATCTTAAGCCTCATAACACATATATTCTAAAATGGACCATTAAGAAGTCAAACTTTTTTAAAAAATATTTTTAGTTGTAGATGTTCATAATACCTTTATTTATTTTTTATTTTTTATTTTTTTGGTACCGGGGATGATTGAACTCAGGGGCACTTGACCACTGAGCCACATCCCAAGCACTCTCTATATTTTATTTAGAGACAGAGTCTCACTGAGTTGCTTTAGCATCTTGCTACTGCTGAGGCTGGCTTTGAACTCACAATCCTCCTGTCTCAGCCTCCAGAGCCGCTGGGTAATTTCATTTTTTTTATACGGTGCTAGGGATCTAACCCAGTGCCTCACGCATGCTAGGCAAGCGCTCTTCCACTGAGCTACAGCCCCAGCCCAAGAAGTCAACCTTATTCTCACTTTCTACATGAGGAAACTGACTTGGGGGCAGAACCATGAGCTCAGGATTGGACAGGTGGACGGTGGAGGCAGGGGGCTCCATCAGGCTGAGAACAACATGAGGAGGGGCTGTGTCCGGCTCAACCTCTCCATCAAATTAGGGTCCGATGAGGGCCAGGATCAGGCATTCCTTCCCTGCCTGTCTCATCTTCTGGTCTGGAGCAGAGGCAGACCTTATTCGGTGCTCTGCTCCGAGTCTGGGCCGGGGCCAGGGTTGACCAAACACTCTGGATGTGGTTTTTGCTCTTCACAGTTCTAAGCTGATCTCCCAGAAATGTGCCCACAAGGCAGAGAAGAGCCCCCCCTTTTTTGGAGATAGGGCATCTATTTGGGATGGGCGTCAGAACACCACTGTTTTTTCAATCCCCTAAGTGTCTAGACGGGAGTCCCCAGAATGCCTGGGAGCCTGCAGGTCCCTATCACAGGGAACACGCCTTCCGGAGCCCGCCTGGTGCCACCCACTTAACAGGGCATTTCCTCCTGTCCACAGTGCACCTCAGTCCTGGCTGCAAACCCTGCCAGGAGTCTCTGGAACCTAGCAACTCATGGGAAACAATGGAAACTTCAGTTTTTATTCTCCTCCCTCTATCATTACTCAAAAGGTTTTCCTGAAAGCCACACCTACCCCACCCCCGCCCCCACACACCGAGTTCTCTTTAGGCATCACTCTGGCGCTGTCTGGAAAGTTTCAGGCAGAGGGGGCCCGGGCTAGGCCGTGGACAGGCCCCCTGGCTGGTGGTGGGCTGTCTGTGGGGCTGCGGCAGAGGTGGATCACCCGCGGTGATTTACAGCCCGAGCATCTGCGATGGGGCTGTGGTGTGAGCTGGTGTCTTTGGCACTGGGCTGTGATTTATGTGAATCAAACTTGGTCTGTGAGTGATTCCGGTGGAAAAAATGGTGCGAGGAAAGGAGGGTGATTCAATTCAGCATTAAGCGCCCACTGCGAGTCACCGCAGTATTTAGTGTGAGAAAGTGGAAAAAAAAAAAAAAAAAAACACCAAAAAACAAAAAAACACACAGGCTGGTGGTAAGGGTGCGACAAGTGACAGGGGCCTGCGTGTGAAATGTGAGTGTGAGAGGAATCTGTGTGTGAGATACATCCATGTGCTTCGTGGCTTGTTGGGTGAACGTGAACGTGAGTGCCAGCGGTCGTGTGCAGGTCGTGTCCGCAGCAGCCCCTGCGGGGGTGCGGGCCAGTGTGCAGCTCGGCTGTGGGTAGATGAGCGCGGGGCGCAGCAGCTTCGACGGCTCGCGGGGAACGCGTGAGCGTGTTAGTGCACAAATGCCGAGCGAGGCGGTGTCCGTGTGGGTCCAAGTGGGCGCGAACGTGCGACGCGGGTGTGAAAGCGGCGTGCGTGTGAGCATGGGACGCAGATCCCGGGGTCCTGGAGCGCCGCCCGCGTGCGGCCGCGACGTGCGGGATGTGCCCTGCCTGCGGGGAGCGGCCTCGGGAGCTGGGCGGCCGGCGGAGGCCCCAGCGCCGTCCCATACCACACTCCAGGCCGCGTTGGGCCGGGAGCCGGCGGGGCCGCGGGCGGCTGGGGGCCTGACAAAGGCCCGGCCTGCTGCGCGGCCCACTCGGGCGAGCCCAGCCCGCGGCCGGGGGCGGACCGGGGGCGTGGCCTGGCGCCGGGCCGGGGCGGGGCCTGGAGGCGCGGGGGCGGGGCGGACGGCCGGGGGCGGGGCGGGGGCGGCGGGAGCGGGCGCGCTGTCCCGAGGACTCGCAGGACAGCGAGCGGCTGCTGCGGGCGGCGCCGAGCGAGCCAGCGAGCGAGGCCGGGCCATGGGGCGGCGGGCGGCGGGCGCGCTGCTTCTGGCGCTGCTGCTGCACGGGCGGCTGCTCGCGGTGAGTGTGCGGGGCGGGGACCCGGGAGCGCCCGCCAACTTGGCGGGGGCCCTGGAGGCTGCGCGGCCGGGACTCTGGCCCGGGACCGCGGCGCCCGCCGAGGACCCCGGGCCGGCACAGATCGGCGCCACCCCGCGGCGTGGGGCCACCCCAGGGGACACCCGGGGACCCAGCGTGGGTCTGGGGGCGGGGTCGGCCCGCGTGGAATTCCTGGCTTTCGCGGCCACTTTGCCGAGGTTCAGAGTCACGCTGGGCATGGCCCAGCCTGCCATTCCTGGGGACCAGGAGGAGAAACTTCCAGCGGGGTGGGAACTTGGCAGGATGAGGGTGCCCCTTTTTGCGCCAGCTTGGCAGAGGGACGCGCGGTGATGGGACCCTGTCAGTCCTCGCTGAAACTTTACCATGCTGCCTGTCCCCGTGGGTAGCATGTAACCAGGCAGGCACAAGTAAAGAACTTTTGGAACAAATCTAAGGCTTGTGAGGAACACCCAGGACTCTGGAGTCATGAGGCTGACTCCATGAGGAGCTGGATCAATCCCTGCCCTTCACTGAGTAACTGTGTGACCTCAAGTGAGCTGTTAACCTCTCTGAGGCCAGCCCTGCCTGGGTAAAGCAACTGCCTGGCCTCAAAATGTGTGATGGCAGGGTGGCTGTCCGCAGCGGTGGAACAAACGTGGGTGTGCGTGGTGGTGCAGGGCCTGTTAGGGGTGGGCCCCCATGGCATCCGAGTTTCCTCAGCTTGCCCCTTCCCGATAGGCCAGGTCCAGGGCCCGATTGCTCTGACAGCCCAGTCCCTGCTCCGAGCTTAGATGGATGGATCCATGTGGAGGAAGAGAATCCTCAGGTCCAGTCAGGAATCCTGAGGCCTAGGAGGCACTGGGCCAGGAGAGGCCCAGAGGACCTGAGTGAACTCAAGGAGGGCTGGGCGGGGTCAGTGGTCGGGAGCTGGTGGTAGAAGTGGGTGAGGGCACATCTGGGCCTGCTGTGGTGAGCCACAGAGCCACCCCCACCCCTCTGAGGTGCTCCTAGACAGTCCCTATCCCTGCCTCCTGTTCTCAGAGCCAAGAGAGTGACTTTTCCAACCGGGCCAACGTTTGCCCAGTGACTGATTCCCTGTCCTTGCCTTGCTGGCTCCCTCACCTCTGCCTTTCCAGACCTGACCCCTCACCACTTCTGCCCACCCACCCAGCACCTCTCCTCCTGCTTTCCCCAGCCCTGCAGCCTCTGTCTTCTGTCTTGGCTTGTCACCGAGCCCATCCAGTGGCGTCCTATAGGTGCTCCCGGTTGACCTGAACTCGCAGCTAGCTCCCTACACTGCCTTTACCTGCCCAAGGCACCCATCGAGACCTGGAGTGTCTTCCCAGCCAACAGCCTCTCCCGACCTTCTCCCAGCTCTGCCCCTGCGAGGGGCTCCTGCACGCTTGGGGTGTACAATGGCAGGAATGGTGGGTGGAGCTGTTTGCTGTGCGCCTGAGGAATTCCACAGAAGTTCCCGGCCTCCCGCCCATCATCTCATTCACTTGTTCATTCAACAGATCTTCATTGAGCACCGTGCCATGACAGTCACTGGGAGTCCAGGGGTTCATTCACAGGGCAGATATTTGCCAAGCACCTACTGTGTCCCAATACCCAGGCACATGGTAGGGGGCTGCAGTAGCCAGAGGGAGCCAGGTTGGTCCCTGTCTGTGCCTTCCTGGAACTCAGAGACAGTGGGCCATTTATAATTGGGACTTGCATACAGCCACGTGGAGGTCTGTACCGTCCCACCCAGGCTGATGGTGGGGGCTGGAAGGAGCTCGGCCTCAGGAGTCTTCCAGGACCAGGTTCGCATACCACCCTTGCTGTTGGCTAGCTGCGCGATCTGACCCTTAGTTTTCACATCTGTTAATTGTGAGGGAGAAGTTTGCTGTGAGTCTTAAAAGAGCAGGTTCCTCACAAGCCTTGGGCTCCTCCTTGCCTGCTGCTCTTGATCTCTTCTGCCCTTGGGTTCAGAGTCACAAGGCAGGAGCAAGTGGGGAGGTAGGACACAGAGCAGGGTAAGTTGGGCTGCAGGGCGCTCCGGCCTCACTGGGGCAGGGGACAGGACCACGGGAACAGTGGGCTGTGATTAAGTGTGGGAGTAATTTCAGTTCTGAGGGGTGGAGAGGGTGCTGGGAATGGGGGCGGGGCCTGGGCGGCTCAGGGCCTGTCCTGGCCTCCCGGCCCTTTTCTTCTTTTGGGGGGCCTTGGCCCTTCCTTTCTCGGGGCCAGTGCTGCAGGAGACTTGGGGGGGGCGTGGTGATCAGGGTGTTTTCCAGGGCTGAGGAGGGAAGTTAGCTGAGATACCTGCTTCCTGCCTCCGCTGGATTTCCTCACAGGGGAGGCTGCTGGCTAGAGTGGGGTGGGGGTGGGGGAACCTCCCCTTCCTGGCAGAACCTCAGCCCTCCCCTGCACAAGCTGGCTGGCCTGTCCCTCCACACCGACCCCCTGCCCCAGACTTGCAAGGGCTGGACAGTAAAGTGCCTGGGGGATTCCGGAGGGAAGCTGCAGGTCCATTCGCAGAGATGCCCCCCACTCTCAGCTCTCAGGCTGAGCGCCCTGTGTCTGAGGAGTCCCGGCCCCGCCTGGCTTGGCCCTGGCCTGTTCCCAGGCTGAGTGCAGGCAAGTTGGGATCCGCGGGCCTGGGGCCCTGCCTGGAGATGGTGAAGGAGGGTGGCAGAAGGTGACTGGATTCAGACTTGGAAGACTGTGAGCACGGAGGTCGTGCGCCCCAGATGACGACAAGAGCTGTGGATGGTTCCCACTTATCCAGGGCACACTGTCTGTTGGACGCTCAGTTTGTCTGCGAATCCTCACATTACCTCTGTCGCTCCGTCGCTCCCTGCTTCCCACCGTCTCTTGTTGCTGGGAATCAGATCCAAGCCCCTGACTTCATCCAGCCCACGAGGCCTGGGAGGGAGATGTGGCCTCCGGACTCTGTCTCGGCTTCGCCTGCTGCCAGCGTTCCCCTCTCGCCCTGGCCATCGGCCCCACTCTTTGTTTCTGAGCATGCTAACATCAGTGCCTTTGCGTCTGCTGTTCCTCTGCCTGGAACAGTTGTCCCTGAAGCCTCAGGACCTGCCTGGTTCCTTCAGGACCTGGCTGCTCTGTTCATCGTTCTGATTTCTCTTTCTTCTTTGGTCCCAGGGAGCAAACCCACATGCCAGTCATGTTCTCTCCGCTGAGCTGTGTCCCCGCCCTACTGTTTTATTCTCCTTTCATCTGACATGCATTTATTTGCCCACTTCATTACCCGTCTCCTCTGTCCACTTTAGGCAGGGAAGGACCTCACCTGTTTTTATTCACCATCACATCTTTAGCGCCTGACAGGTAGTCAGCGCTCAGTGGAGGTACTTGTGCAGTGTCTGAAACCACAGCTCCTCGTGTGGTCCCCAACCTCTCAGCAGAGGAAATGGAGGCTCAGAGAGATTAGAGAACTTGCCGGGTGACTGTGTACCACACACTCAGGGAAGTATTTTTTTTCTTTTTGCAGTATTGGGAATTCAACCCAGGGGTGCTCTACCACGGAGCTCCTTTGTATTTTGAGACAGGGTCTTGCTAAGTCGCCAAGGCTGGCCTTGCACTTGCAGTTCTCCTGCCTCAACATCCCCGAGTAGCTGGAATCACATGCGTGTGCCACTGTAGCTGGCAGGAGCCAAGTTTGGAAGGCAGATGAAGTTCTCTGGACCCTATCTGCTGCCCCATCTGCCGGTAGCCACAGTCAGGAGATGGGGATAAAACTTGTCACTGATGTTGATGTAACCGAGAACTCTGGCCCTGGGTGGCACAAAGCCTAGTTCAGAAAAGGAATGGTGGGAGCAGGGGCTCAGGAGGGCTGTGCCTGGGGATGCCCGAGTTGGCGGGAGCAGAACGACCTCAGGACGCTCTGCATGGAGCCCTCCCTGGTTGCCTGGGCTGTTTCCTGGGGGTTGAGGCGGATCTTTAGAGGCTTCAGGACTGCTTGACTTTGGGGTGAGTCTCAGGGCAGAGGGCAGGAGGGGCTGCCCAGATGTGGCGAGATCTGGAGTAATGAATGAGAGGTGCCTGGGGGCTAGACCTGTGGGTTGTGGCCCCGGACCACCGGGGTGTAAGGGAGCCTTCCAGCCCTGACCTGTTGCCCCCTCCCCAGTTCAGTGCAGCCCTGAGAGGTCCTGCTAGAAGAGGAGTGGGGAGTGTCCGGCTCCCCAGCAGATCCCCAAGGGTCCGAGGCGCCCACCGGCCTTCTCCCTTCTGCTCCTGCTTCTGCCAGGAAGGGGGAGGCTGGGCTGAGGGTCCTGTTCTTGCTGGAATGTTGCCCCAGCCCAGGCCTTGGCCTTTTGGGCCCTCCACCCCCTCCTGTTCCCAGGGCCTGGCTGGGGCCAATTGCCCCAGTGCCCAGAGCAGGCTGACGGAAACCCAGAAGTATGTGTGGAACTCGCTTCGCGGGGAGCCGCCAGCCCCGCTGCCCAGCCTGGTGGCGTCGGGGCCATGTCAATAGCCGCCTTGAGAGGGGAGTGGCTCGTGGCTGCCGGAGGTGGCTGTGCTGGGGGCACCATCATGAAAGCCTTGAGAACAAGGTGGCTCTTTGAGGCTTGGGAATGTGGGGCCTTCAAGTCTCCGCCACCACACTCCCCCCGCCCATGCTGCTCCCTGTGCGTGGACAGCGCTGCAGGGACCTCACGGCATCCCTGGGGCATCCTGACATGTCCTTGGGACCAGCTCTCAGCTTCCTACCAGAGCACTTCCCTGGGGCGCAGAGGAGGGCACCCTGTTGCTGTGGTTTTGGGGAGGTGTCTGGCACCCCACTTGCGATGTGCGTTGAATGAATGCATGAACCAGTGACGTACGTAACTAAATATTCTGTAAACCAAAGTCCCCTGTAGGTGCGCATTAGCCTTTAAATTCACTTAATAAGCATTGGTGGAGAATCTTCTCTGCATCTGACCCTGTTCTGGATGTTGGGTTTATAGCGGGGAACAAAAGAGTCACATTCCCTTCTCCTGTGTGACTTGCATTGTGGCTAGGGCAAGAAGACTGACAGTAAATCTGTCAGGTGCCATAAGTGCTTGGAAGGAAAAATAAAGCAGGGAAGAGGAGGGTAAGGAGGTGGGGTGGGGTGGCAGGGTCAGGAAAAGCCCCCATAGAGATCTGCGGGAAGTGAGGGTGGGAGCCTGAGGGTATCTAGGAAAGGGCATTCCAGGCAGAGTGGACAGCCAGTGCAAAGGCCCGGGGGTGGGACCGGGCTTGTATATTTGTGGAAAAGCAGGGAGGCCTATTGTCATGGGCTGTATGAGAGACGGGGAGCATATGGTGTCGGTGCAGGGTCCGGG